CCCCAAAACCCCAAAACCCCAAAACCCCAAATGCTTCTAGATCTGAAATTAAAACAACTAACAGATATTAATTTAATTATATAAATGAATTTGTAATATAATACAAAGAATGACAATAAACTTGGAAAAATAATAGTTTCATTTTGGAGATCGAATATATGGCCCAAGCTTAAACGGTCCCTCGTTAGTTAGCAAATTAGGGAAATACAACTAGTCAGCTCCAGTAAGTCCTAAAAATGGTGTCAGGAATTTAAGCAATCAGTCTTAAACTATTTAGTATAAACTCAAAAGAGACACTGCTCCACCATAAATCTAGAGTAATGCCTTTCATATATTTCTTATATCTGACTATTAGACAAATAAATATACAATAACGATGCAAATTGAAGTATAACACCCTTGCGAAAAATGACACCACTGACATAGTGCGCCTAAAATTTACTAACTTAAATTAACATCAAAGGCATGGATGATTATCAAATGTACCCAGTTATGAAATCAGCTTTGAGTAATGTACAGCAATTAGAACTTCAAATAATCAATGATGATAAAATGAGTCTTAAGGAAAAAATAAGGTAGCAAAAATATGAAAGGGAGCATTCTAGATATGATATAGTCAAGATGATTAAGGATAATAACAATTAGATTGTGCCACAACAACCTCTTATAAACTATGGACCAGAATTTAGAGATCCTAGACTTAATGAAGATTATCTTCTGCATATCAAGAACAAAATAGATGGTGAACAGTTTTGGATATCATATATATCCGATAGCTCAGCTTTAACTGAAATCAGATGGGATTTGTTTGAAGATGGCATGCTTAAATATTTGCAGGATAAGATCATATTTAATTAAGAAGAACTGACAAGGGTTAATTGGAAACTATTCTTTACTATATTGCTAGAAGTTATAGCTCATAATGAGAATGAGTACTAATCGGAATGCCCTCAGTATCCAATATCGACTACATATGCTAATCATTAGGAGGACTACATGTCATTTAGAGGAAAAAAGGTAAGGAAATCTGATTGGATCAATTTTATCAAGGAAAGAGGCTTCAGTTAATTTGCTCGAGAATGCATGGTTGTCTATAATAAAGATCAAGAAGGCAATAAACTTAGAGAAGATGAGATGGTAAAGAAATTAGCACAAATTAAAAATGCATAAAGGAATCGAATAACTTATGAAGATGGAACTATTTATGAGGGTTCGAGAGATCACGGTCGGAGACATGGAAAAGGCATATTAAGTCTTGCTAGTAGAAGAGGTATATACAATGGAGACTTTAATCATGGGAAAAGACATGGCTACGGAATTTAAACTTCACATAATATGATAATAAATAAAAAGGCAGATGCCTAGAAATAAGAGGAAAAAACTAAAAAGCAAATAAATGGAGAGTAAATTAATGATACTTAGTAAACACAGATGAACAATGAAGAAGATGATGCGATAGAGATACCTTAGATGGTATATAAGGGTGAATGGAGGGATGACATGAGACATGGATTTGGAGTCTAAGAGTTCTATGATGGATCTAAATTTGAGGGTCAATGGGCTTATAATAAATAGAGTTTTGGAACTTATATCTGGCCAGATGGATCTGAATATGTTGGTGAATTCAATGGCTGCCATATTGAAGGTCTTGGAACAATGAAATTAGAGAGAGAAGTTATAAAGGGTAAATGGAGAAATGGGAAACTTCATGGAGAAGGAGAACGCAAATTCATGGATGGAGAGAAATACATATGCAAAAATTGGATTAATGGCAAGATGTTTGGTAAAGGTGAACATCACACCAAGGATGGTAGCTTCTTTGGATACTTTCAAGAAAACAAGGAGAGTGGGAGGGGTAAAAAAGTTTCACATGTAGATGGCTATCAGTACGAAGGCTATTTTGAAAATGGCCTATTCTGTGGACAAGGAAAGTAGATTTTTAAGAATGGAGATGTCTATATTGGTGAGTTTAAGGATGGGTTTAGACATGGAAAAGGAATCTTTAAGTTTGCCAACGGAGATCAATATGAAGGTGAATGGCAGGAAGATTACTAAAACGGTTACGGAATTCTAAAGATTAAGTATGACTCCTCTTTTGGTAAATTAGATGCTGTATACAAGGGTAACTTCAAAGATGGTTTATATAATGGCAAGGGTTTCTTCGAAGTTCCTGATTTCTAAATTTACGATGGAGATTTTGTTAATGGAATGAAAGAGGGCTTTGGGAAATTTGTATAGGTAGTGGACGATGTGAAAAGAGACTACTTCAAAGAATAGGTCTACGAGGTCTATGAAGGCTAGTGGAAAAATAACAAGTTTCATGGCTTGGGAAAATTCAAGTACAGTGATGGAGTAGAGTACAATGGAATGTGGAAGGATGGATTGAAAGATGGAAAGGGCACTCTAAGTAAAGGTGATTAGGTGCTTACAGCTCTATTCTAGGAGGATTACGTTATAGGTCCTAACTGGAATGAACATATTGATGTGTCGCTTTTGAACATGAAGATTTATGATAAGATATTTGGAAGTGAAGAGTGGAAAAAGAGGCCTAAAGATAATAAAGGTGATTTTATTAGTGATAATCTTGATAGAATCGGTAAAAGGTATAATGAATGATTATATATAATTATAAGAGACATACTGAAAATATTATAAAATCTTACTTAGTGGGGTTTTGGGGTTTTGGGGTTTTGGGGTTTTGGGGTTTTGGGG